AATAATAATAATAATAATAATAATAATAATAATAATAATAATAATAATAATAATAATAATAGCAGCTTGTCTTTAAGTTGTCCCAAAACATTGGGTTTAATAAACAAATCTCACAGTGCAACAGTGCCCCCTGGAGAACCTATAACAAAGTACTATATTTTAGTACTTTATTTGTTTCTCAATAGCCCTCCATTTAATTCTTTCTCCCTCCTACTGCCCTTCAATAGTAATAATGACCAACCATAAATTGCTTCCTGGCTGCAAATATATGTAGATTGAAAATGAAGAAAAAATAATGATTTAACATTACAACTCAAGTCCAATGAGGAGAGCTTACATGAAAAGAATGCATCAGTTCTGGAAGAAAACGCTATGCAGAATCAGAAATTACAGAACAGAGGCTAGCAGAATGTCAATTTATAATATGAAATAGTTATTTAGGAACATTAGAAGCTTTGCTATCCCTCTTCCTTTACATGGACAATCTAAAGCTGTGTGGAAAGGCATGATCTGAAACGGAATCACTGCTCAACAGCCAAGATATTACAGTGGAGTTTGGACTGGCCAAATGTGCCACACTCACCATCAATAAAGGATAAATAGTGAACATTGAAGGAATCAAGATGCTCTATGGAAATAACATCAAAGAATGGGATGGAAGTGCTCATTCTTCTGCAATGGAATTCTGGCACTGATGATAATATTACTTTATTTAAACGTATATGCCTCCCAACTCTCAGCAAGAGATAAAAGCAGCTTTTACAGATATTCCCACTCGAATTAACTCCTTGCTTTACCTCTAAAGTCTCACAAAGGTGTCTTCTCTTTATAGTGATTCAACACTGAGTTGTAATAGTATTTTGTATTTGATTTTCACAGGTAAATGTCACATTGAGACATGTAAGAAAAAATTGAGTTGAAAAGTTACATTTTCTATGACCTCCACCTACTAGACCAGCTTCCTTGAATCCAATAAAGTTTTAACTATATATTAAATTATATTGAATTATAGTAATTTCAGTAACAGTGGCTACAGAGCCAGTTTACTATAGTAGTTAAGGCATCAGCTTAGAAAGCAGGAGTCTATGAGTGGTAATCCCACTTTAGGGGCCCTGATGGTGCAGTGTTTAGAATGCAGTATTGCAGGCTAATTCTGCCTATAGCCAGGAGTTCGATCCTGATCGGTTCAAGGTTGACTCAGCCTTCCATCCTTCCAAGGTCAATAATATGAGGACCCAGGTTGTTGGGGGCAGTATGCTGACTCTAAACTGCTCAGAGAGGACTGTAAAGCACTATGGAGCAGTATATAAATGTAAGTGCTATTGCTATTACGCACAAAGCAGTTGGGTTACCTTGGGCCAATCATTCTCTTTCAGCCCCAGGAAGAAGGTAATGGCACTTCTGAAATCTTGCCAAGAACTCTGCAGTGACTTGTCCAAGCAGCTACCAGGAACCAAAAACTGACTCAAAGGCATATCCCCACTAAAACAGTAATTAAGTCTAATATTTAGGACAACTTGTTTCTTGATAATTTCCTGGGAAAAATAATATGCCAGTCATTTTATTATGTATGAAGTGTTATCAGACTTACATAGCTTCTATAAAACTGTTTTAAGCCAGTGTTAGGCTTAGTTCATATATTTCTTAACCAGAAAGGTATAAAAAGCAGCTGCTCAACATGTAAAAAACAGTATGTCCAATTTCCATCTTGTATAGATACCAAGCCCAGCTCTAGTAAGTCTAAAAATTCTGCAAGCATACAAAGAAACAATTTGAAAATATTAAGAACATATTGATATTGAATAATTAGATCATTTTAATGAGAAAAGTACATTGGTTGAAAGTAAACCTTTATATACACATACATATAACTTAGGAGTGTAAAATGTTATATATCATTAAGAATCATATTTTCTATATTATATAGGATTCAAAATAATGGTAAACACTTTATCTTGAAATATCAAACAAGGTAAAGAGAACTTTAATTTATATTTTATTGATATATTTAAAGCCTAAAGGCCAAGATCAAGACAAAATGCAACAAGGATTGAAGAAGCATTTGGAAATGCATTTGTCTGCATTCTACAATGGCCAAGCATTAAAATTAATGTATTCATATTCTAAACATAATATAGCTGAAGAGTTTTCAGAAAAAGACAGAAGTGTATGTGTGTCTGGACTTCTGTGCCCATGCGTGTATGGCACACACAGCCAAACTAATTTAAAATAGTTGAACCATCACAAATATTGTATTCTAATTGTAGATGCGCTAGGAAGCCTTTTAAAAATATGTATTACTTCAACTTCCAATTTTATGTAAGGTTCCCAGTGTTTCCATCCTAATTATTGATCAGGTCCACACTTTTTTTAAAGGTAGTGATTCTGAAATCATTAACCAATAATTAATTACTTGGGAAATCTTAACAAAGATGCAATGAAAAGTTTTTACCCTTCCTTCCCTCAAAAAAATAAATACATTAAAAATCTGATGGCTCCAGATTAGGTCATTTATATTTTGTAATACTTTTTAATGGTTGCAAACCTTTTTAAAGATATTTATAGTGAAACTGATAAATACTGTAATCTTTTGTCTAATTGTTAAAGAAACAAAACATGGCTGTGTAAATGTATGGAACTGAATAAATAAATATTCTCAAAACATACAATAACTGTAAATGTAATATAATCTATTACTAATCAGAAGGTTTATCAAGACTATAGTTCCTCACTATACATTGTGTAACTCAATTATATTTGGTCACTATTAAGAAGTGCTTAGATATCCTCAATATTTTTACATATCTAGTAAAATACAGAACAAATTTATGTTCATAATTCAAATATTTTCTTGTTACTGATTTATCTTGTTTTTATTTTAAGCAAGTAGGAAAAGATTGACTTGATTTTTGGTGAGTTAAAATGTAGGATTGCAATAGGGCATGCACATCAATTTAATGAATAAACATAAATGTAACAAAATAAGTGCCTAAACATTTTGACCTTAGTAAGGATTCTCATAGATGCTAAGTGATATCCTCTAAGTCACATTAAATATTCCCACCATCTTCAAAAACCAAGTCAGAGAAATTTACAGGTTACCATAAACAAATCCAATATATAAATTAACAGATTTGATGTCAATTATACTAAGCACATATCAATTGGTTTTCCACTTTGAAATTAAATTTAATCAAATTCCATGTGAAAATTCCTTAAACATTTGTTATCTATAATTTATCTATTAATGATATTTTTAATGTCGGAAAACAACATTTATCGCTGGCAGCAAATACACAACTGTTGGCAACAAATTGCATACTGCAACTTTCTAATTACATATGTATATGAGGAAGATATATGGTACTGTTAACAAAGAAAATACTCAAGGCAACCCTGTTTGTAATTCTGTATATCATGAAATATTATTATTGAAGTCTTACAATACAAATCTCCCACATTTGAACATAGGTGGAAACCAATAAGCAGAGATAAAAAGTATGTTTTTTACATTTCAGCTTTTACTGCCAAATAAGACTTGCTCTTGGCATCACCTTTTTGAATCTTCTGGTATCTAGCTTTCCAATTACATCAATAAAACTCATTTTATGCAGCAGTTTCTCCATTGTTAGCATGCTTTAATACTTTTTATTCAATTTTTTTTCACATTACCTTGTGTCATAATTCTAAATGTTTAATAAATGATATTTATTATGTAAAGCCTCCACTGTTTAGTGAAACATCTTTGCTGATTTGACACAGCAGTACTTAAAAGTGATTCCACAAAGAGCAACCTCATAGAATCAAACTTCATTTGAAATCACTTTTAATCTTATTTCATTTGTAAAATTTGAAGTGCAAAGACGGCAGCAATCTATATTCCTACAGAGACTTAATTTATACTGTCTAGAACAGGGGTGTCAAACTTGCTGCGTCACGTTGTCATTGCGTGATGTATCGAGACTTCCTCCCCTTCGCAAAATGGGGTGGGCGTGGCCAGCGCATGATGCATCTGGCCCGCGGGTCCACGAGTTTGACACCCCTAGTCTAGAACTTTCCTGTGCTTAACTGTATTTTCCTCTTGTTTGTAAATACGGGTTATTCTGAATAATTCGAGGCTTGAATAATCTGTCTTTAAAACAAACTAATACATTGTCTTGTTTGCTTCATTGTAGTGCATACCTTACAAACCCCAAATAGAGCCTCAATTTCATCCCTTGCATTCACCCTTATTTGTTCCAGAATCTAATGCCTGCTCATCTAAATGCTAACATCCACTGTGGTCCCAAATCTCTTCCAATCTAGCTTTAATCTCTTTCAATTTTTTTCTTCTGAAAGAAAGTCACTAAACCCAGCCAATGAAAAGATGTGTGTATATATGTGTGTTTGGGTGTGTACACATACACACACATACACAGATGAAGTTGGAAAAAAATGTTTTGTTACAGTAAAAGCAGCCAGAAGAACTAGCACACAAGTCAGGCAATAATAACCCTAAAGTTTACAGTATGCAGTTTACAAGGAGTGGTTCTTTGCAGTTGAGGGTCTTATGAGATCTGGCATCCTGTGTCTTTTTGAGGCTTTATATCTGGTTCTTTCACAGGTTTTACTTCTTCCTCTGCCTTTGGTTTAGCCTATTAATAAAAGAAAAGTAGAAAAATGATGTTGCCTTGGGGGTACAATAAAGTAAATTTGAAATAATATCTATTTTAAAATGTGGCAATAAAGCTTAAGCTTTTCAATACACAGCCTTTGAGACAAGGTTAAAACCCCATCCTTCACAAGCCTGTGTCACCTTCCCCTCTATCCCTAGCACTTCTCTTATCCTGAGTAAGAAAGAACCAATATAAAAACTGAACAATACAGATAACACTGGTGAAAAAAAGCAACCTGTTTGTGTTCTTACACTGTCCTCCTTTGGCCTTTTGGTGAGATCAAATGCAGCAAGGGATTCTGGGGACCACTGAGCATGCACAGCCGGAAATTCAAAAGCAATCGGCTCAACTAGACCATAGTTTGCTTTCAACTCAAGCTGAGGAGCCTCTGGAGGAATCTTCTGGAAGTAACTAGAAGAAAACCAATTTGAATGTTAGTAGTCCTAGTTCTTTTCCACGTAATTCTGTCTAGTTTAGGAGTAAATTAATGCTACACATAGCTCACATAATTTTAACTACATGCAATTCACAATCTGTACTCCACTTTCACAAATGTGACAGGTGCTAAACACACTGAAGATTATTTTTATAACCACATTACAAATAAGTCAAAACAGAATCCAAGACGAAGAAGGGTTTTAGAACTGGCTGAATGGAAAATTGATTCCCCAAATTACTTCATTGTGGCCAGTCAATGTTAGAGAAAAAAATCTAATTTTCATTATACTATACAAACATTATAGTTTAAATAATGTTAATTGTAGAATTAAAGAATTATTCTGCTCAAGGTAGAACTGCTTCATTTTTAGAAGTGATTAACATTGCAAGTCAGTCTCTCTCTCTCCCTCCTTTCCTCTCCCTCTCCCTCTCCCTCACACACACACACACACACACACACACACACACACAATTTCAGTGAAGAAACCACACGTTGTTTAGTTAAAAAAAAAGACAGAGAGAAAAGATGGGAAGAATTGGCAGGCAAGGAGGAGAAATGATGTACCTACATCGTACTGCAACTGTACCTGTATCAGATATTATCATATCATTACATTTGCATTCTGACATTATGGTGCCTGTTGTCATCGCTTTGTAACTGTGGCTTGCTGTAGTTGTCATTGCAGCTAGTATCTGGTTTGAGAAAAACTACTTTCCACAAGGTTCCCAAGGGCAATTTGTTGATGTAGTACCCTGATGCCAGTGGCAAACCTCAACAAAATTGTGCATCTGGATCAGGAAAGTTCCACTTTCCAGTGACATCCGCAAATATTTACTGTATGTCTGCACCATTATAAGGCAATAGATTTGAAGCAAATCTCTCACTGATCGATTTGCAATCAGCAATACTATCTCTAGCTAATTCCTTAATTCTAAGGAGTTTTAGTGGAAAATCTTAGAATAGCATTCCCTTAAAACATATTTGTAGAGTGGGGTGGGAACATTGCCTTTGAGCCAGGCTTGGCTCCTGGCGACTCCCACATGAGTCCATGCAGTTTTCCTAGTGGCATTTTCAGAAGTGGCCTGCCATTTACCTCCTTCCTAAGGCTGAGAAAGAGACTGACCAGTTCAGGGCTGCCAATTGACTTTCAAGATTAGGCCTCAGGTTTTCCCCCATAGTCTCTCTAGAATAATTTGTTGAGGCAGTCCAATAATGGGGTACGTAAATATGTTCTTTATTGGACTCACTTTTAGGGGATAAACGGGCATATATATCTGTACTGCTTTATGCAGACAATGTGATAATTCCATCAATGTGATAATTTCCATGAGAAAAGCCATGAAGTTGTCATTCCACTTTGCAAGGAGATTGCCTCGAGAATCACTTGGAAGTGGTAATCCAGAATTCAGTGGCATGGACAGTTGTGGGCATCTCATTGTATGCCCATGTAATATAGTTATTTCATGAACTGCAGAACTTACCAGTGAGCTTCTGTGTACAATCCAAGTGCTAGTTATTACCTATAAAGCCCTTCATGGCACAGAACTTGATTATATGAGAGACCGGTTGTTTTCTTTACTGTCTGTCCATACCATTCAGACAGAATTGGCATTCTCCAGTCCCATTTATTACCAGTGTCATCTGATGGGACCCAGGAAGTAGGACATCTCTCTCTCAGCACCTATCCTCTAGAATGACTCCCCTTTGACCTCATTTAAATGAGGCCTTAAAACCTGGCTCTTTCCCAGGATTTTGATTATAGTGAATGTCATTTCCCAAAATAATTGGTCTGCTAGAGTTTATGATTTTTTCCTGGATGTTTTGCCTTTATATTGTCTGAGATTATATGCCATCCAGAAATATGATAAAATTGGGTGGTCTTATCAATTTATTAAATATGTTAAAAAGACCAGACACTAAACTATATTTGTTTGAAAAAGATATTACAAATATACTTACATGAATCCATTTTCTCGCTGAGATTTTTCTAAGGCATTTTTCACTACAGTTCCTAATTTCAGAAAGAAGAGGTGTCCAGATGGCTTCGCTGTAGTCCCCGGCCCTTTGGTTTCACCATATTCTTTGCATAGTTTTTCTGCCTTGGCATAAACTTTACAAGAAAGCAAAGAGTCAGTCTACAGTCTTCCTACTTTTTTGTACAATTTTAATAAAGTGCAGCGCTTCACTTTATAGTCTATTGTATTCAGTCAAGATGCTGTATTCAGTCAATAAAATATTAAGACAGATACAAGGATATTAGGGAAGTTGGGTGGCAGCTACAATTATTTGGAAAAAGAACAAGTTTTGGAAAAAAGAGTATTGCTTTATGTTTATTGTTATGTTTTTCATTCAAAATCTGATTATAAAAACAAAACCACAATTTTTATGAACATATATTGTAATATATTTTTTAAAAAACAGGACACGATCGTCTCCCTGCAGATTAGACTGTCACAAGAAAATCTATCACAGTAATCCTTACACCTCTCAAGAATTAAAGTTCTGCTTTGATTATTCAAATGTATGATTTCTTGAGTATTTTTTCGTTTTAATTTTTAGAAATTAAAGAGGGGAAAACACTTTTTTATTCTATAAACTATGAAAGAGCACTTACATTTTTCTGCTTCTTGTAGAGACCTAATAGATTCGCCACATTTATCACTGGCCAAGAGGGTCTGACCATGGTAGCAAAAAGCCTGGGGAAAGCAAGACTCTCTTTAATATTTTTGGCATGCTCTGAAATTACCTTAATCCCTTACTTGCTTCAGCAGTGAGGGCAGAAGAGTGAAGAAGAGTGAACTTCAAGATTTGGAAGACACAGAGCTAAGAGAGAGCAATTAGCTGTTTCTATAGCTCTTACTGTTATGGTACTCTGCAAAATAAAGGCAGGCTGTTCTAGCTGCACATGTTCACCAACACATTTACAGTAGCAGAAGACTTTGATATATGGCAGTTAAGTACAATCCATCAAAAAAGAAAAGTACTTGTTTTATGTTCTCAGCTATCCTAGCACATAGCAAAAGAAAAAAAAACATGCATGAAAATGGGTATTTACAGGTGAAACTCGAAAAATTAGAATATCGTGCAAAAGTTCATTTATTTCAGTAATGCAACTTAAAAGGCGAAACTAATATATGAGATAGACTCATTACATGCAAAGCAAGATAGTTCAAGCCATGATTTGTCATAATTGTGATGATTATGGCTTACAGCTCATGAAAACCCCAAATCCACAATCTCAGAAAATTAGAATATTACATGCAATCAATAAAACAAGGATTGTACATAGAATAATATCGGACCTCTGAAAAGTATAAGCGTGGATATGTACTCAGTACTTGGTTTGGGCCCCTTTTGCAGCAATTACTGCCTCAATGCGGCGTGGCATGAAAGCTATCAGCCTGTGGCACTGCTGAGGTGTTATGGAAGACCAGGATGTGACAATAGCATCCTTCAGCTCTTTTGCATTGTTCAGTTTCATGTCTCTCATCTTTCTCTTGGCAATGCCCCATAGATTCTCTATGGGGTTCAGGTCAGGCGAGTTTGCTGGCCAATCAAGCACAGTAACCCCAGTCACTGAACCAGGTTTTGGTGCTTTTGGCAGTGTGGGCAGGTGCCAAGTCCTGCTGGAAAATGAAGTCAGCATTCCCATAAAGCTCGTCTGCAAAAGGAAGCATGAAGTGCTCCAAAATCTCCTGGTAGACAGCTGTGTTGACCCTGGACTTAATGAAGCACAGCAGACCAACACCAGCAGATGACATGGCTCCCCAAATCAACACAGACTGTAGAAACTTCACACTGGACTTCAAGCATTTTGCAGTGTGTGCCTCTCCATTCTTCCTCCAGACTCTGGGTCCTTGGTTTCCAAATGAGATGCAAAAGTTGCTCTCATCAGAAAAGAGGACTTTGGACCACTGAGCAACAGACCAGGTCTGTTTTTCTTTAACCCAGGTAAGACGCTTGTTTGTTGTTCAGGAGCGGCTTGACAAGAGGAATACGACATTTGAAGCCCATGTTCAGGATCCGTCTGTGTGTGATGGCTCGATGCACAGACTCCAGCCTCAGTCCACTCCTTGTGAAAGTCCCCAACACTTTTGAATGACCTTTTCCTGACAATCCTCTCCAGGCTGCGGTCATCCCTGCTGCTTGTGCAGCTTTTTCTTCCACACTTTTCCCTTCCACATAACTTTCTATTAATGTGCTTTGATACAGCACTTCGGGAACATCCAACTTCTTTTGCAATTACCTTTTGAGGCTTTCCCTCCTTATGGAAGGTGTCAATGATGGTTTTCTGCACAACTGTCAGGTCAGCAGTCTTTCCTATGATTGTGATTCCTACTGAACTAGACTGAGAGACCATTTAAAGGCTTAAGAATCCTTTGCAGGTATTATGGCTTAATTAGCTGATTAGAGTGGGACACTTTGAGCCTAGAATATTGAACCTTTTCACAATATTCTAATTTTCTGAGATTGTGGATTTGGGGTTTTCATGAACTGTAAGCCATAATAATCTCAATTATGTCAAATCACGGTTTGAACTATCTTGCTTTGCATATAATGAGTCTATCTCATATATTAGGTTCACCGTTTAAGTTGCCTTCCTGAAATAAATGAACTTTTGCACGATATTTGAATTTTTCGAGTTTCACCTGTATACTGTGCCATATTTTATTTCCTTATTTGACACAACACTGTACTGTTCCCTTGCGGAAACAGACTCATGAGGCAAATAAATGTCCATTACTTCAAATGGTTTAAATTTATCATTTACTGTTGTGTTTACTATTAATCGGTAAGTGGGATTTTTTCAAACAGAATATACATGAAAAATATACTTTACAGATAACAGGGAATGCTCTTTGAAAGAAAGCAGCAAATACCAATTTGCCAAACAGCTGGTTTGGTTCACTATTTAAAGAAAAGTATGCTTGCTTGAAATTCAGATAAAACTCAGATATGCAGATTTGGTCAATTAAATCTAAAGTCTTGAAGTTAAATCAAGATTAAATCAAAGGTCTACTACATTTCACTCTTAGTCCCAGGAAAAGCTTGTATGTGCAAATTAAAAACCACTTGTCTTCTGCTGTTTGTCCAATAAGATTAAACGGAGGTGAAAACTCCAGGCTGCACCTTTAAAACGTAGCATTTGATAGGTCCCAGGATGCATGTCTTCTCTGTCCCAAGGCCTGGCTTTTGGAATAGCAGTTTCCTGGTGATAAGAGCATTTTGGATCCTGCTGTCTTTTAAAGGAGTTCTGAAGGCCTGGCTTTTCCCCCAAGCTCTGACTCAGGGTATTGAGTGCCTTTAGAACACATCTATATTAAAAATGCTAAGTATATTGATCCCCTGGTGTCACTATGTTTTATTGTTTTGGATTTTATTGTTTCAGAATCATTATGGGTTGAGCTGCCTTTGATTTTATAAATACATGAGCTCTAAAAGACTTACCAAAATTGCTTGAATAACACAGATTGCTATTTTATATAACAATTTAATAGCACTTTGAAAATTGTTTGAAAATTGTTTTTAAAACCCTGAATACTTACATAAGCCATATAGAAGCATGACTTCAACTGAAGGTATTTTCTCCATTTCATTGTATATGCAGGATCCAAACTAGATAACGTTTGATCTAGGAAAAGATAACATTATTTTTAAAATAGTAACTATTCATTAATTTATTTGCAATCATCTTCATTTTAGCCATTGCCTATCCAATGCAGGATGAAGGCCTCTTCCGCATGTTTACAACCAATACCGTCCTGAGCTTTCTTTTACCAATTGGGCCTGCAATACTTGCTGATATTGTCGATCCATCTTGTATTTTAAAGCCCTGCTTAAAACCAGAACATGGTCTGTAAAGATACATTTGTCCATGAATCAGAGATATATTCCAAGCCATAAAAGTGAAAGATGTATGCTGACTTCTTGCCTTCAGTCACCATAAAAACAAGTAAATAATGATCAAGCTAGTTTATTTGGCCACAGATTTCATTTTTTATCCATGGTACTTCCCTGGTGCTCTGTCCACAGGTAAGATTCTACACCTTAAAACTGGTATCAAATATTAATCAACTTTTAAGTAAGTAATAATAACATACCTGCTTTTTGATAGAAATTGGCTGTTTCATAGGCCAGGGCTGCTATTAGACCAGGATTATGTTTCAGCTCAATAGCCCGGGCAATTGTCACTAAGACAAAAATAAGAAGCTATTGTAAACATCTCCTTGCATTCCATTTATTTCTCTATTTGTATAAACATGGACAATGTGATGACCCGGGGCGTGGCACAAAGGCAACACAGTCAAATAAGCAAGAAGTGTCCCTTTAATACCTCCAACTTTGCCTCCAATGTCCAAGTTACCTTCGGCTAGAGAAAAAAACTCTCCCAAGAACAGTCTTAAGTGGAGGAAATTGAGTCCGAAAACAAAGCACATACAAACTGTAAATAAAAATCCACACAAACCACGCTGCAGTAATGAACTTGACAGGGCAGGAGAAGGAATTGAAGACTTGAAAGCCCAGCAAAACACACACAGTTCAGAAGACACCAGGAACCCAGATAAGCCTCGAAGATACCAGATAATTCACGATTTGCTCCCAACAACTTTGCTATGCACAGCCTCCTTTTTTAAACACTGGGTTCCCAGCTGCAGCTAATGAAGGGAATCAGGGCCCTTTCCTCCCCCGTAAGCCACGCAACTCACGTTGCTCCCTTCTCTTTTCCTCCCTGCATGCCCTAGGATGAAGAAGGGGTAGGGCTGGGCCTTCCTCTGAATTCCCTCTCCCTTGCTCTCCCTCTCCCCTGCTCTGCCCAGCCAGCCTTTGCCCTTCCCCAGTTTCTTCCACAGCCAACAGAGCCACACTCCCACTCCCTGTCTGCTGCTCGGCCTCCCCCTCCGAATCAGATTCCGACAGGGCCATGACAGACAATTTGTTAAACGCATAAAAGCAGTATATTTCTTTCTCTTTTTTCTTACTTCTAACGTTGTGAGAACTGAGTTGAGACACCAGCCTATGTGAGAAGTGAATGTCTGCCTTGAATTTATATTCTAATGTTTGGAGAATGGGATTGTTGCATAAGCACATTGTTTTGTGTGTGAAATTATAATCAATTCCATTTCCATGTTCATTGTATGTATGTGTGGATAAGAAGTCCCTACAGTAGACAGACAGGAGGATGGAAATGGAAATGTTCCAATTCATGGGAATTTACGAATCTTGGGTCTGACTCAGATTCCCATGATGCCAGCATGCAAAGCAAGACTTCAATTTGCTGTGGCACATTGATAGTGGAGGTGGCCTGGATATCTGGAAAAGGGGAATGGTTACACTAACCTCATGATATAGATTCCCATCTGGTGAAGCTTGGTGTTAAAGCATATTTATTGTACAGGCAATGGTTTCACTGAGAAAACAGATGTTCTTAAATGTTCATAGGGAATGTCCAGGCACTAGAGTCAATGATGCTATCTGACTTCACTGACTTATGGAGTAGAGAAATGGAAGAGGCTATTGAAACCATTGCCCCTATGCAGTGCTATGGATTCCAGATTTCTTTTTTAATACTTTGTGAACATTAACTAATTAAAAAATGGGGTTACGCCTATATCGTAAGTAGTATAAGGCTTGCCATTTTCTGTGACACTATCGCATCCATCCTAAATAAAAAACTATTTTTGTTTTCTATGTGGAATTCTGCTTGTATAATGTGAGATATCTAGTAAAGCATCTATGCATAGGTTAATCTCTATCTAAGCAAATGCATGGTTGTCAATTACTTACTAAGCCAAAGATCTGCTGCCATTTTAAAACTTGGAACATAATTCCTAACTCACCACTTCATCGCTAGAGGAGTTGTTAGATTTTTAAGATTATCAGAGATACTTTTGCCACCTGTGCTGGACAAGTATTATGATATGTGGGTAGGCTTGCATTTTGGGATGTTTTTTCCCCTCTGAAATTCATGACGTGCCTGTTATTAAACAATTTATTACATTGTACTTTTTATTAATAATTCCATGGATGCTGCATCTGAAAGGAATTACGGGCCAACGTAATACATTATGTCTGACTATGTTCTACAATTTGGTTCTCCAGAGGAACAAATTGTTTTAAAATCCTCAAAGAGGAAGCCCCCAACATTTCTCAGATGCAAAGTTAGTAATATTGCATAAATACCTTCTTGTGCTTCAGCTTGACATTGGATAATATAGGAATCTATTAGTCGACCTTCTAAATCCCTTCCCTTTTCTACAGGAGTGATCAATTTAGGGATATGGCTTTCCTAAATGAAAAAAAAGCACTTCAGTATTGAAAACAGTGGCTATATTTAATTAACTAATGAAGCAACTAAATATTTATGAGAATTTAATAACTACGAAACATACCCACATGAAAATTGCAACCATTCTACCAGATATCTATCAATGATTTAAGAATCGCATCTAATATTTTAAAATCTCCTTTTTGGAACACTGTTTAAGGAAGAATTTTTAAAACTTTCTATCTAAGCAAGGAATAATGGGGAACATGTGCATCTACCATGTAAATTTCAAGGTGAAACAATTCTAAGAAGATAGTCTGTGCATTCTACCTGAGCATCTGAATCTATTCTTAACCCTATGAATTAAATAAGCCTTTTTAAACAACACGTGAATCCTAATGAGCTACTTCTAAGATGAGTACTAAGAGCTGTGCATGCTTCAGAAATGTTTTGGAAAAAATGTTTCAGAATCCACATATGCACTGCATATTTCTATCCATTATTCATTAATGCTACCTTTCTTTTTTCAGGCTTTTACGCCAGCTTTAAAAAATGCTATTTTAATCTTGCATTCAAGATTGCAAAAAAAAATGCAATGGGGGGGGGGGGGAAGAGAATTGTTTTACCTTTAAATGTTTGAAAATCCCAGCTGCTATTTTCATACTGCGATGGACATCTTTTGCTTCATCTTCTGTTATGCTAAATGTTAGCAATTCATTAGTATTGAAATACTTCAGGAGTTTTAAACATCATCCATCAAATTTCTTAACATTATTGCTAGCCAAGTTCTTTTGCTATTTCTACAAGTGTTGTTTCCTTATTTCATATTTGCTCAGCAAATAATATATTTCTAAGAAATGAGAAAAACAATTAAATAATACAGAAAACAATTGTAAGCCTCTTTGGTCCATCTAACCCATTATTGTCTACTCTAGGATGCAGAATTGTGATGCACACTGCTGAATAAAAGTCTGATTATCACAGTACTCTTGTACTTTAACTGGAATAACTTCCAGCAAAACAGCGGCTAATGTTTTACAGGATGGAATGGAATGGAATGGAATGGAATGGAATGGAATGGAATGGAATGGAATGGAATGGAATGAAATGGAATGGAATAGAATAGAATAGAATAGAATAGAATAGAATAGAATAGAACAGAATAGAATTCTTTATTGGACAAGTGTGATTGGACACACAAGGAATTTGTCTTGGTGCAAATGCTCTCAGTGTACATAAAAAGAAAAGATACATTAGTCAAGAATCAAGAATCATGAGGTACAACACCTAATAGTCATAGGGTACAATAAGCAAATCATACTAGGAAACAGTCAATAAAATCATTAGGATACAAGCAACATTACAACCATACAGTCATAAGTGGAAGGAGAAGGAAGGATGGGAGGATTAACAGTAATAGTAAGGCAGACTTAGTAAATAGTTTGACAGTGTTGAGGGAATTATTTGTTTAGGCATTCGTTATTTAATCAAATTAATTAAATTACTACATAAGGTATTCATTACTAATCCAAATGATTTATTTGGTATCTAAAAGCTAAGACAGTGATACCAGCCAAGTTTCCTGCAACTACAGGTAGTCCTCAACTTACAAGTTCATTTAGTGACTGTTCAAAGTTACAACAGCACTGAAAAAAGTGATTTATGACCATTTTTCACACTTGTGACCATTGCAATATCCCCATTGGGATCAACATTCAGATGCTTGGCAACTGGTTCATATTTATGACCATTGTAGTATCCCAGAGTCACGTGATCACCCTTTGCCAGCTTTGGACAAGCAAAGTCAATGGGGAACACAGATTCACTTATATCATTGATTTAACAATTGCAGCAATTCGCTTAACAACTATAGCCAGAAAGGTTATAAAATGGAGCAAAACTCACTTAACTGTCTTGCTTAGCAACAGAATTGTTGGATTTTGTAGACTGAACTACTAAAATACATAAATCAGTTTTCTAAATAAATCAACTGCTGATTCTCGGGACAAGTAAATCACCTTTCTGGACATATTTTGAAAAGAAGATGTCATTCATGTAGGACATTACATAAGGAGAATATTCCCAAATAATTAGACAAAAATTATTACTCTCTTTTACAATCTGATATTGCAATTCAAGCATAAGGCTGGGCCCATGCAGTTTCACAATAGGAAAGTTGAAGACTGTACAGATTGAAATGGTTTTACTCCCAATAGCAATTTAGCCTGCAATCCTATGAACAGTTTAGCAAAACCAAACCCACCAATTTCAAATGGGCTTAAGGTATGTTTTTAATCTTCTGACATTACTCTAATTAAAGTGAAAATACTTACTCTTCCTTCCCAGCTAATCTTGATGCATATTTAGTGTACCACAAGGCCACATTAAATCCCATAGAAACTAATTCAAACACAGCATCTTGCTGGGCACTAAGGGAAGAAAGGAAAACAATCTGAATTTTGCAGAGTTTATAACACTTCTGAAGTACAAAACTTTGCAATACTTCCACTTATCTTTTAGACATAAGACACAATGCTACCAAGTATCTTTTCAGGAATGTCACATTGAGTTCAAAGAGTGCTGCTTAATTCTTTTTCATTCCTTCCTACCCCAAATCATGGGAGCAAACCTCCAAAGTATTGAAATGTTTACATAGAACTTAAACAGCTTGAAAAGTGGAATTGTTCTGACTGAATTAATTCGTGTTTTGTTTTTGTCTGGTCAGGAATGTCCAGAGTACAGTGTTTTTACAGTTCTTCCCTTCAGAATGAAAATACTGAAGTAGCAGTCAATCAAGTTACCACCATTCTTTTAAAACGTTTAACTGAGCACTACTATTAAACTACAAACAGGTTTTTTTATAGAAATGGAAACTTTGCTTGATCCAATATAATACTAAAAATCATCTTGAACTAAAATTAATTTATCTAAGTATATACTGTCGCAAAAGGGCTTGTTTTTAATTATACAAATCCCAAGGAGATATGTTAAGAAATAATTACATTAAAAATTACAAAACATATATTCACTTCTAAGTATCACTATCTTGCCAGTAATATGGACAATAATTTTATTAATCAGTTGTATTTGTATATACAATATAGCCCATTAGACAATGAAAAAAGAAAGATAAAGTCATAACAAAAATCACACATGGAGATAATTGCAAACTAAGATTTCAGCTGATCCCACTGATAAAATATGTTTTGTTGTAAGATGGCTCTTTCAATGTATGAAAGAAATGTAAGAGCATTTTTTAAAAATTCCATAACATCATCTTGGTAACCCATTAAGTTACTCTTTGTACTGTCTGATTTTTTCAACATAGACTACCCTCTCCTTGAATGGCTGGGTGGACTGGACATTAACATTTGAACGACTATAAGTCCATGTATTTGCCATATGCTAAATAAATACTCTTTGTACTAAGAACTACCTTAAAATTTGAAAAGCATACTATATGTATACCTTGGTATTTGTCCTTGCAACGTGTCTGTCCATTTAAAATTCTGGATGTATCGCAGTTTGCTATCCTGTGAAGAGTTATCCAGGGCAAATATAAAGCCTGTTAAAATAATGCCAATATTAAAATAACACATCCCCTACAAATCAAAATGTACTTTAAATAATCATTTTGTCTTCAATGTTTTTTCTTTATTTTTTTCTACTGATAATGTGACTTAATATAAAACTTTTTAACATTTAAAATGCCTGGTATTCAAAATTAGCCTCAGGATTCCTTTTAGCTGATTGGGGATCAGTTTTACACTACACTTGAGGGTCATTTCAATAATTTCTTTGGTTAAATTCAAAGTAATTGACATTCCACCCTCAGAGCAACATCAGACAAAGAATTCTAGGAAATGAGCCCAGTAAGACAATGCACTAAGTATAGGGGGGGAAAGAAAGAGAATGATGCTCCCTTGTGTCAAAAGAAGTTGATGCAAATGGAAAGCCCTTCTGCTCATGTGGGGGGTCTTACATTATCCTGTATCATTCCAGAAGCCCTCCCAATGTCTTCTGAAAGACAGGGGGAACAGATGGTGAAGCCCCATTACATGGAAGAGATTCAGTTTATATATTATAACATACAGCATATACTCTATACATACTAACTGCAAATTTGTTTTCCAAAAGATAATCTTTACGTAGCTAAGGCTGCATTATCTAGACTCCATTTGTCTTTTGGAAAACCTCCATGTACTCCACCCTAGAGGTTGGTTGGTTAGACAGCCTGTGAACTATTATTATTGTTGAGTGTTTATTGGCTTTTCCGTGGCAAACATTATAGGCTTTTGCTATTTTTAATGGAGAATTTTAATAGGCTGTTAGCCATTCAAAGTTGCATTTGCAAGACAGGTGGCCAGATAAATCAATTAAATAAAGATATTTCAGTACATTTCACGATTTGTACATGTGCAAAAAATTCAACCAGAGTTTGCTATTTCATCCCTCCAATTTAACCGATTTGTTTTATCATGTGCTTCGATTACTAAAAACAATAACATCACTGAAAACCCCAGGATTATCTTCCACAATATATTCATAACAGCAAAACTGTACTTGACCATCAATTATGCCTGGCATCCACTCAGGAAAAAGATTAGCAGCACTGTATTCAGAGAATTTTGCCCCCCCCACAGAAGCCTCTGAGAAAAAAGGCAATTCTGTAGTTGTTTATTTCATGAGTGGGTATGAAGGAGCAGTGGTGTTTCCCTTTCCTTGCATTGCTGTGGTGAAAAACAGAAGAAACCAGGGAAATGTGTGTGATTTCTTTCTTCTTTCAAAGCTTTTTGAAAGAATTAATGAAAACATTTTTGATTTCTATAAAAACTTTGGACAAATAATGAAATAGTAGGCAATATTCCTTCTTTTTAATCCTTTTGCAGTTTTCTGCAAATCAGAGACACTTTCATCTTCCTTGTGTTCTTTAGTCATCAAAATGTCTTGGAAGTGGAGCTAGAGAATTGTCACTATCATAATTAAAATAATACCAGAATTAGATGGCCAGTTCCATTTCTGAAATCAAGGAAAAATATCTAACTTGAAAATTAAAAGAATAAGCTCTCTGCTCACATAAACAGCTCTGTGATAAATATAGTCTGATGGTTTTCCACTAGTTACTGAACACACATTAAGCATCTTTGATCAATCACAAAAGCAGCCTTTGGATCACTGATAATGTGTATCAGTGCCCTATTTCTACACAATGTCGTGAAATTTCCACAAAAGGAAATGCAACCTTTTGGAAAACAAGGATTATAATTAATATGGAGAAAGGGGGGAAATGTCTGAAAATAAAGTAGCCATGGCATTGTGCAGTGCGTCAATGACATGGGCTTGGTTGGGGATTTTCTATTTTCTTCCTCTTTATCAGTGGGTGAGGAGCTGTTCTTATTTTTAAAGAAAAATATGTGAAGTGTTTTTTAAGATTTAAGCTCTAGTTTTACACTTTGATTTTTGTGTTTTCACACTTCACATTAGCAGCTTTTACTTCACCTTTATCAGGTTTTGGCAATTGGGTCACTAAAATAGTCAGAGCAACTTCACCCTCCCAAATAATTGAGCTTTTTTTTACCTTCCAAGAGTGAAAAATAGGAATCAGTTGCATTTTTCATCATATCTGGATTACAACTTAAATCAGTAAAAAGTTCCAGGAGTCGTGCTCTTGATAACCTTAAATCACTATATTAAAGGGGAAAAAAGACCAAAAGATATATCAAAGATGTGCACTATTTTCTCATATTAACTTACATTTTGCATATGTTCTTACAATCACTTACTTGCAGATTTTTGTCGCAGCTGGAGTTGTGGCTACTCCATAGTAATTGAATGAGACAGGAGCTGTAGCCTTTAAAGGGTTTCGATGAAACCAATGAGTCATTCTCTTCCTAAAAGTTTAGAATACAGCAAGACTAAAATAAAGAAGAGAAAAAGTTACTGATTCTATATATAACTACAAATACAACACTTAAAAGTCTGGTTATTTAATACATTACAGTTTTCTATGGAAAGATATTGACACACACATATGCACATATTTGTTAGAGACAGAAAATAAACCTAACCAGATGTTTAAATAAACATATAAAGGATTGACCTATATGAAATATTATATTAGTTGTGGAGTACAGCACTGATTAACAATTGTGGAAGAAAATCATTTGTTTTAAGAATAATCAATACAGTTATTAATTCAATTTATATAACTGTTTCTATCACATATGTGACTCTAGGTGGCATAATACGAGTAGTTACATCTTGTTTAGTATTAATATTAGCAATAAACATAAACAATTAAAACCTAAAACTTTTTTTAAAATTAAAATTAAGGAAATGCAAATCTCAATAGAATTTTGAGAAGCATTGTAGATGCTCCTAATGATGACCAGAGTTTGAAAGCATTTGCTCCTTTTCAGGAAGTACTAATTTTCATTCAGTTTGCCAAAGATGAATGGGACTATGGATATGATCTGGGTATAGAGCACTTCTGCTATGGGTCACATTATTTTCACATGATTAACAGCCAGTTGTTGCTTCTCCCTTAGAGTCTGCTGAAAAGAAATATGTCTGCAGAGATAATTGAAGTTCACTTAGCTAATAGAAGAGAAAGTAGAGCTATTTGTAACATGACCAACTCTAAAATATAACATTGTAAAATACTGACTAGTGTTATTTATGAATTTAAAATATGTTTTTCTACTGAGGTCTACTTTCTGTGTGTTAAACATTTTTTTCCAAACAAGAGTTATTTGGCTGTAGAATCCAAACTATCAATCATTAATAACTTTTTACTTTCTAGTATAACTTTCAGAATAGCTTCATAAAATAACGGCTTTAAGCTGTTTTCTGCAGAGCCTTTGCATCCCTTAATATTGTAAAATGTCTTATGATTGCTAAGACAAACTGTTGTGTTGTCAGAAATGTATGCAGATATGTTCTGAGTGCTGGGAAAGAGAAAATGTCTTTCATGAAGAACAATGAAGTTCTTATGTTGTGCAGTGGTGTGTATAGTTTTTTTTAATGACTCTTTTTCACATGTTTATTATTTTTATACTTTTTTTTGCTTCTCCCACAGATTTAAACATCAGATGACATCACTGCTGTCAGCAGTGGTTGAAACTTTCATAAGAACACTATGTGAAGAATCTTGGAAGTCACATCTTTTTATCTTTTTCTTTTCTTCTATTTTTCAACTTTTTTCTTTCTTGTACTTTTTTCTTTCTTTTTTTTCTTTATATTCATTTCTGTTAGTTTTTATCTTTATATTTAAAGTTTAAAAGTTTTAATTTTATATAGAGACAATCAAGAAAAGGAACTGGACATGGAACAGCTGTGACAAGCAATCCTAGATGATGGCTTTTTTTATGAGAGTTACAAAGAAGATTGTGTCCGGATTCCTCCAATACTTAATCTGTCTGAGATAACTTCAAAGTGAAATCTTTGAAGACTCTTTTTAAAGTTGTAGAAAAGTTTAATCTTGGCTTCTTTAAAGCCAGGTGATGAAAGTTGAAATTCTGCAATGCCATAAAAATTATGTAAAAGTCAGGACTATGCAGAGCAAAAAAGAAAGATTACAAAGTTGGACTATTTGACCAGTGATAAACTACATTGCTATTTCTGATATCTCCCAAGGGACTTTTTGCTGAACTAGGACTGTGGTAGATGAAGATGGTTTCTGCATTGTATATAAATTAGGCTGAGGGGAGAAGAGTTTTTTTATTTGTAACTTTAAAAGAGAGTTAAAAGCTAGCATATTAGTTTATGTTTGGTATGATGAAAATTGGCCATTGTTGCCTTTTTCTTTTACCTTTTTTCTGCAGATTTTGAATATTTTTTTCTTCTAGTTTAGTTTGTCTTTGTTTTTATTACATTTACTAAAACTTCAATCAATTTTTTTTAAAAGAAAAAATTCATATTTACGTGGGACAAAGTTTTTTCCTTCTGTCCTTCCTTGAAAATGGTTGACAGTTGCTCAACTCTTCTAGATTGAAGAAACACTTTGTTAATGACAGACATATCACTGCCTCTTTTAAGCAGGAAAACATATACCTTCAAGCATTAATTATCCAGTAAATATAGAACCAGTTATTTCTGAACATTTTAATCTGCCAGGAAAGGCCAAGAAAGGTTGGCCCTCACTTCAGATGTACTCTTCATCATTGAGATCCAAAAATTGAAGAGAATTCAGAACTGTAGGGGTTGTCATGGTTACATCATCAGTTTCTGTTCCAAGAGAACATAAGGAGCCAGTATACTCTACTACAATGATGAACTGGGACACAAGGGATTCAGATTAAAATCACTCAGATGCACAGTCCACAGAATTTGGAACCAATCAATCTCTAGGTTCAACATATCTCAGATGGTTCTCAAGGGAATAAAATGAATGGAATCCCCTTCTGTCAGGCAAATTGAACAACCAACAATGAATTTCAGGTTGAGTGAATTTGCTTTTATCTGCAAAGAACAGCAATTTGCCAGAACAAACTCTCAACTGCTAAGTGTCTCCACTCCCATCATTCTATTGCAGAAAAGCTGCCTAGTGCAGAAAAACAATGTTGGCCTGTTCTCTATGGTGGAGATCTTAAAATAATACATTCTTATTTTAATTGTCATAGTATATTGCTCCAAGTAGACTTTAGTCCCTTCTTGATCTGACTGCCCCATATTATTTCCATTTGCACAGAAATTACAACAACCTCTGAAAAAGTAACTTGTGACCCATCTTTGAAGTCACTGTGATCATGTGATCACAATTTGAGTGCTTGGCAACTGGCAACATCTACTATAGAAGGAAGAATTTTTTGGGGCATAGTATCATATCCCACTTGTTTTCAGAATTAACAGGATAATTTATTTTGGAATTGCTATTGGGACTTCATAGCTGTCAATGTTATCCTCCTAAATGAGCTCATCTTTATTTTTTAGGATACCAACCTGATCTAATAATCTTGAAGGAATAAGTTTAAAATCTCATATCAGAGGAGAGTGTAATTTCTATTCAGTACTCGTTTTAACTTCTGCTGATTAAAAAGTCCTTCAAGAATGACTGATTTGTGTAATATTATATTGTATCAAACTGGAAGACTTAAGAATGGAATGGATTCTTTGGATCCAGGGTAAGACATACTGTACAAGTAGTCCTTGATTTACAACTACAACTGAACCCAAGATTTCTGTGCTAAGCAAGACAGTTTTTTTGCCCAATTTTATGACCTTTCTTGCCACTGCTGTTAAGTGAATCACTGCAGTGAAGTGAGTAAAATGCTTACTAAATGAATCTGGCTTCCCCCATTGACTTTGCTTGTCTGAAAATAGCAAAAGGTGAACACATAACCTGGGATACTGCATTGTAATTTTGAATGGCCACTAAATGAATGGTTGTAAGTCGAGGATTACCTGTATTATATAGCCTTAGATATTTTCCCAATGCAATACAGTAAATAAGTCTGCCTCCTTTCTCTAAGTATTCCATAAGAAAATTCTGACATTGCTTGATCAGTAGTCCCAGAAAGAAACTTGAACAAGACGAAGATTTTCCTTGTTGTTTATCCTGCCTTGACTACACGTAGTCATAGTAATAAATCAAAATATTCCCATGTTGCGGTTCAAACACAACAGCCAAAATCTAAAACTCTATATAAAGGAAAAGAGGCAAGGTAATACTCCTTCATATACAGATAGTCCTCGACTTACATCCCCAATGGAGCCCAACATTTCTGTTGCTAAGCAAGATAGTTTTTAAGTGAATTTTGCTCCATTTTACTACCTTTCTTGCCATATTTATTAAGTGAATCACTGCAGTTAAGTGAGTAACATGGTTAAGTGAATCTGTCTTCCCCACTGACTATGCTTGCCAGGATACTACAACCATCCAATACATTGCCACTTGCCCAGCATCCAAATGTCGGTCATGTGGCCATGGGGATGCAGTAGTGGCCATGAGTGTGAAAACTGGTCATTAAGTCCCTTTTTTTAGTGCCACTAACTTTGAATGATCACCAAACAAATGGTTATAAATCAAGGACTACCTGTATTGAACTTTTGCTTTAAAAAACAAAAAACGGAACCTTTAAAAAGAGCTTGTCTCAGTGCTCGGAAATTCTGCCCATCATATATTATAACACACAGGCCTTCTCTGGCGTTACAGTAACTGAGCTTCCTCCCTAGCAGACAGCAAAGCGAACAGCTCCACGTCCAGCATTAATCCAAGCCTCTCCCAAAAACATATTTGATCTCCGCCTTCTCTGCTTAGGGTGGAGCTGCTCTATTTACCTTCTCGATTTCCAGCGGACTCTTGTCAGCAGCAGCCACTGCCATACAGCTCTACGGAAATTAGTTCAGGAGGTGGAGCCGCATCCCCAGAATTATGAAAGGAAGGCGGCAAGGCCCAAGCCCACCTCTCGGGGGCTCTGCTGAAAAGCAAGCCCAGCCAAGCTTCCCTGCGAGGGAAGAGACTCGCCTCTTCCAGCCTTCTTCCATTCGACTGGCAAAAGCGTGGGGCCTAAACCCATTTCAGCAAGCTATTCAGTTTGGGGATAACCTCGAATAAACTCATCTCTCGTTTTCTCTCCGGCTATCATCAATTACTTTGCCAAGTGCTGGTTTGAGAAGGGTTCAGCTATATTGGAAACCTGGTGCTCCCTTGTGCTTCGGGATTAGTAGTCCCACTCTCATTGACAGGGACTGACAGGCCTTGGAATCTATATATTTGAAAGACGCTGCGCTACAGCGAAGCACACTGATGCCAGTTTGTAGCAATTCCCAGCTAAACTCTTAAGCACAACCGACTAGGTACAAGTAGGAAGCAGTATGCCAATCCGAATGGGCTTTCCATCGGATATGTAAATCCGGCTTCTTTGGGTTTTCACCCACTGTTTAAAAAATGCACCCCAACCTTATTCGTTTGCTGAGGTCTCAACGGGACTTCCTTAAGCCTCAAAGTCAGCCTCTTTCCCCATACTGATCGTTGGCACTTCTAAGTAGTCTCATTGATTATAGGGAAGGAAGCCCCGCTGGGTTTACAGGCCAGAGGCCACGCCCACTCATAGCTGGCAAGCCTCATTGTTCTCTGCGTTAAGTACAACTGCGATGTAAACATCCCGAGTAGCTTGCCAGGGACTAACCCTTTATTTTCTCACACTCCCTACGCGCTGTTTAGCCCGAGATTCTATGTTCATATCCCCTTCCTGAAAATACCATCCTAATTTCCTCAATTAAGACTGCACCCACTTTAAAACGAGCTGCTCCCGTACTATATAAAGTATCCACATTTCCTCCATCTCTGTTTATAGCGACATCAAGCCTGCTTCTCTTCTATTTGCCTAAAGGGCTTCTGTTTACATCTATTTTACAGAGTCGCCCTCCCCCCCAAACTTTTTCCTGTCTTGGAACACCAAACAATAGGCAAAAGGACGCGACGAACAAGCGGAGGAAGAACAAAGCAGTCCGAGTTAAAACGATTTACCATGTTCACAAATGGTTTAAGGTTCAAGTCTTGCAACAAAGGCGGAAATGATTGGTTTAGTTCTATTCCGTTCTCGAAATTGTGCTGTCATTGGAGGTCGAGAGGTTTGTGGAACGTGATAGTAAAATGAGAGTAAGAAATCTGTTAGAGGAAAAGCGGAAAAGGAGAAGTAATAGCTACTTAAATATGGTTTTGTCCTTAAGTGGCCCAGAAATATCCAATTGATCGTGTATATATAAGAATAGACGAAATAAAGCTTAAGAATGCAAGGACGTGGGGAAAACAACAGCCATTGGTTTCGAAATTAACTCTCAATTGAGCATATTTCACAAAAGAATTAAAGGTAAATCACTACACTGAATGCATTTAATTCCATGACCAACTGTCTGTGCAAGGCTGGACGGTGGAAACAATCGGAGAAGCAGGAAGCCGCTAAGATTCATCACTGCCAGCGTTCAGGTGCAGTATAAGGAGAGAAGACAAAATACAAGCGCCTACGATACAATAAATAGAAGCTTCCTAACCACTCACCCACCTCGGAAGATTCTCTAGTCTATGCCAGAGATCCAAAAATTGTAGAGGAGTTAAAGGATAACTTCTGTAGGGTGACCTCGGCAATAAAAAAAAAAACCAAGGAAACCCGCCCGATTCCCTAGGCGCCAATAGCCGAAAATCACGTGACCTTCCTGGACCTGGCAAGATCTCGCGAACCGGGCGGAAGCGCTTCGCGTGTAATGGTAGCAACGAAATGGAGCCGGGCGGGTCTCGTCTCGCCAAGGCGTGAATGAAGGAAGGAGTGCATGGTTTTTCTATGCCAGCTCAATTACTCGACGAAGCAGAGGGACTAGCTGACTCCGAAAGTCAGTATATAAGGAGCTGGTGGAGAATGATGGAAATCATCATTGCTTTCTTTGCACCTGTTACATGTTCCTAGATACAGAAAAGTAGTGATTAATCAGGTCCCCACCACCACCCTTTTG